ACAGCAAACAAGAAGGGGCTCAGGGCCGATCCTTGATGTAGTCCCACCTCCACTTTGAAGTCTTCTGTCCTTCCAACAGCACACCTCACTACTGTTGTACTATTCTCATTCATGTCCTGCACCAAATTAACATACTTCTCTGCCACTCCTGACTTCCTCATACAAAACCACAATTCCTCCCATGGCACTTTGTCATATGCCTTTTCTAAATCTACAAATACACAATGCAGCTCCTTCTGATCTTCTCTGTACTTCTCCATCAGCATATAGCGCTCCTTAATACCTTACTTTATAAACTTTTGGTTTAGGAGAAAGTATCAAGTCTTGTCGAGTCAAAGGGCTCAAGTCCGAGTGAAGTCACGACTCATTGATGTTAAAGTCCAAGTCGAGCTGCAGTCTCTTTACATTTTGTCAAGTCAAGTCTAAAGTCATCAAATTGATGACTTGAGTCCACACCTCTGGTAACCAGTGGTTTAGTACATGGCTGTTAAACAGGTGTTAATAATCCAGCTGTGACCAGTCCATACCTCTAATCAAAGAACTATAGTAATTGCATTATATTGAACAATACATCAATTTGAGATGAGGTGAGATTTCTGTCTTTCGTGGAACGACATTCACCTTTCCATTGCACCCAATCAGCCGAGTCCATTTACACAAGTCCTGGTAATGTCCAACTGACTTGACATTACAATAAAACAGAGCTTTCCACTTGTTCTGCACAAATTAGTTTATATTATTCGTATCCACTATATTCACAAAAAGGTCTGAGTGCTGAGGTGTTGGAAAACCTGTGAAGAGTAGTGTGAGTGGCTTCATTTGGAAGACTTCACAAACAAAGTGTTCTCTGCTGCATACACTGGAGGACTGATGATGAAGAACTCCATTAGTGGTTCATAATTGGGCAACAAAAATGCTAGCAAAAAAACACCAAAAGTACTAAAAAGTACACTGGTTCTCCGAACTATGGAATTTTACATGTTCTGGAGGCAAACATGGGTTTATACAGTGTTAGTGCTGTCAAAGTTAATGTTAGTTGCACAAATACTTATTGCAGTGTGTGTCAACCATGGGGTTGCGTCCCCATGTACGATCGCCTGGAATTCAAATGGAGTTGCCTGAAATGTCTAGTTTTTTTTTTTAATCAAAAAACAAAAACAAAAAAACTTTCTGTTCAACTGACTGTGTTGACTTTGCAAGAAAACCTGAAAGAAAGAAATCAGAGTATTCATATCTTTTATTGTGTATGTGCTCCCCTATTACAACAAACAGTATCAGTAGTGTACACTTCAATCTACACAAATACAGAGAAAGCAAATGGAGCAGAGAGTGCGACAGTGAGAACAGTTGTTTCTCATCAATGCACGGACGACGGAGGGGGCGAGGAGGGGGTGTTGATACAGTACATGGCATGGAACATGCTATGCAGACTATCTGTCTGAGGTTCAGGGATTGTCACTTTAACATCTACATCTACACTACTCATCAATACAAGCACTCCATTAAGACTAGCAGCAATGTTCTGTAGGCAGGAGGTGATAAGACCTGGGGAGGGGGAGGAGAGGGGGGGACAGGACGACACTGACAGCTACACACAGCCTAACAACAACTTTACACGTTTGCTGCTACTACTCTATTCATGTCTTGTTGGTTATAATAAAGCACGTGTCTGGTCAGTATATGTGGCAGCGCCGCGACGGCACTGCTAATAACTTCTACAAAACAGCTGTGAAAAAACAGCTTTCTGACGACAGGTAAGAACATCTCAAAATTGAGCATGTATATTTACATTTAAATTGTTTGCAAAAAACAATGTCATTCCTAGTCTACTGCCAGTTACCGAGAGAAAACCTGTTAAAAAAAAAAGTCAGTTTCATGGTGGACCTCCTGCAGCAGATTGACCTTTAAGCCTCACTTGTTGTGACGCCAACGTAGGATCCTCTGACTTTCAATAAATATTCATGTTCTCAATGCTATATACATGTACTGTACACTGGCACACAGGAGTGAGGGTGAACGGTTGTGAGCTACTGGACAGCTGTGCTGAAAACACACACGCTGTGGTTTCTTCTATTGCAGTCAGATGCATGGTGGTGTGAATGAGAGGACTTTTTGTGTGTTTGCGCGCGTGTGTGCGTGTGAGTTTGGTTTCATACAATCAGCCCAAAATGATAACAAAATCGACATGAACTGGAGCACTCCTTTCTGAGAACCATATTTTCCAGACTATACGTGGCACAGCTTTAATCACGTCAGTGGAAAAAGCTGTCGTGAAGAGGACAATTATGAAAGTTGACTGTTTATTAACACATGTCGGGAACAAAGGCTAAATATTTAAACCACAACAGGGACAATGAGATTCTGCATCACTGATTTAGTTAATTATCAGCATCAGCATCAGCATCAGTAGAGGTTAGTTTGGTAATTTATTTTCTTTCTTTGTAAAAGCTACAAGGTTTGTCTTTTTGTATGTTGTTTTTATTTAGTCTTTATTAATTTTTTAATGGCACAGTAGCAGAGTAGTGTAGATAGTGCCAACTTGTGGCCATTGAAGATATAGCGTATATTAAAAAACTGTGACTTATAGTCTATAAAATATGATAAAGTTTACTTTTGTAGATCCATAAGACTTTTGCTTTTTATTTTGTGTAAACAGTAAAAAGTATGCTATGCTAATGTTGCTAAGGTAAGAAGAAGCTTGATCTTTTAAACAGGAGTCATAGAATGTTTGCCAACAGGCTGTTGATCGGAAAAGTAAAAGTAACAGTGTTTTTGTGTGTTGTCTGAATTCTTCCAAGTGGTTAAAACGTTTGAATGAAAAAAACAAAGCTTGCTTGCTAATGGCAAAATGACATGACGATATGGTCAACACCATAGCACGGTTTCTAAACCAAACAAAAAGACTGTAAAAAGTAAAGTGTTGAGAACGTGTTTCCTGCGAGGTTATGTCACCAAAAAACACCATATAAACCTACAAAAGATATGAAAATAACATGCAAGTTTCATCAATTATCAAGAGGAAGCATTTATCTGACACTCACACTTTAATAATTTAAAATGTGTATCTTTGGTATGAAGGATGTTTTACACATTCATTCATTCATCATTCTGGATGTTCCCAAAATCAATATTTTATAAGATAGTTTTAGATTAAAATTTAGTGGGATCCTAGTTTCTGTCTCAAAATCAAATCAACATTTTTGTTTCTGCCACTGCTGCCACTGTCTGCACCTGTTGACATTTCTGCACACGCCACCAACCGCTGCTGCTGCTCTGCAGACATCTAGGCTCTGCTTCATCGTCATGAAGGCGCCACAGAGAGACCAATCAGAGCAGAAATGCTGCCACACTCCTGCCACGCACCTGTTGCCTCAGCAACTCAGAGATGAGTGTCAGCATCCAAGGAACGTTTAATGAATCAAAGATCAATGTCTTCATACACGGATTAGTTCAGAGGTGGAGCAGCATAAAAATTCTGTCCTTATGTGTCATGGCTGGATTTACTGTAATCTAACAAAAGAATACCTAGGAATTCCCCAAAAACACCCAACCACAGAACCTCATAGAAGTCGTACAACTGACCACATGAAGTGTCTGTCTGATGTGTCTGTTCTTCTCTAAGTGTTGAGGATCTTCTGTCTGAGAGTCGCCTGTGACAGTAGTGAAGCTCAGAGAAGCCAGGCTGAAGGTAACGAGCTGGTGGACGAGGAGCTGGACTATTGTAAATTATATGCTTTAAATAAAACTGCTTTATTCTCACCTGTCAGGCATGAGGTTATGGGTTTGAATCCACGTTGAATAAAATCTGACAATTTCAAGGGGGGACAAGACTTTTTTTTTAAGCAAACATTAATGATTCCAAACTGTGACTGTGTCCATCCCGTGGTGTGCCGAGTTAAACCTCACGTATTTGTCGCTCGTGTGTAACATGTTTCGACTGAGTTAAAATTTTAAATTAAAAAGTGTAAAGATGGGAACATGAGTTTATCCACTGTCGGAGCTCATGGATAGCTGCTCCTGAAGTGAGTGATGGGGCAAATTCTTCACAAAGTGAACCAGCACTTTTCCTTCTCTATTGGGTTTGTCTTTGTGGTGTGTTTTGTATCAGAAGACTTGTGATGAAGCTGACTGTATATAAAAAGTCAGGAGATGAAGAGGACCACACTCATCTCTCCACTTCAGAATGTGCCGTGGACCACCGACTGTCTGTCAGGCTGCTCGAGCCTCGAACCTCGGCCAGAGAAGCAGGTGACGCAACAAACAATTTCCTGCCAGTCAGACCCACGTGTCTGGGAACTCGTCTCGGTGTTGTAGAGACCTTTGACTGGGTTTTCTTAGTCGGCGCAGGGGTGGTGGTGTGTTTGGCAACATCGCCAGACACAGCAGGGCTTTTGCCTGCGCTTTTTTGTTTAGCGCTGCGAGTTCCGTTGGCCGCGGCGGCCGTCATCGTCTCCAGCAGCTGGGAGGCTGATCCGAATCGCACGTGCTCCTCTGTCTCGGCCGCGTCGGAGAACAAGGACAGAGCTGCTCCGCGTTTTCGGCAGGAGTCACAGCACAGTTTGTTGTAGCCTGGAATGGAACAGTACCTCGCAAGGACGTCCATCTGGCAGAAAATTGATTTGTCTCCCTCACATGGTTCATCTGAAAATTACAAAGAACTCAATGTCAGTTCATGCTGAAAAAAGGTCTGACAGTTCAGTGCTAAAGAAAACAATGCACAGTACATGAAAATACAGACCTGTATATAAGGCACATAGATGGTTAAGGTCAATTGCAAACAATATGTACTGTAATGAGAAGTGAAGCAGTTAAAAGTTAAAAAAAAAAAACTTTTAAAAAGCGGTTGCTCCTTTATTAGGATATATTTGGCTTGGCATTTTTATTGATGACACACAAATTCGTGACGATTTTAAGGGGCAGTGGTGGGTTAGTGGTTAAGGAAGTAGACTTGGTTCCGGAAGGTTTCAGGTTTGAGTCCACCGGCTGCCAAGTTGCCACTGAGGTGCTCTGAGCAAGACACTGTGCCCTCAAAATGAACAGCCCAGTAGGTGACAGTAATGTACCTAAAGTTCCCTTGCAAGTCTGCAAGAAGATGCACAGGTTTGGTGAACTGTGTTACTTGGTTTGTTTGGTAAATAAACTCTCAACAGATGCTAAGATGAAGATAATCGTGTAACCATTTTGCTTGCAGATTTTTTCCTGTCAAGGCTACACTATTACCTTCAGGCACCGCTGCTAATGTTTGCTGTAACAGTCCCAGTGGAGACGAAGACAGTCCACAGCCCACAGTAGAGCAGATGGTGATTATAAGGTAGAAACGTCTTCATACATTGAGTGTAACAGCTGTGACCGTGCTGTGAGTTTGTAACTAACATGTTCATATATAAACAAAGGTGTTTCTACACGTTTTTGGCTTAAGAGCCACTATTGAAAGAACCAGGTCAAAGTGATCTGTCTTCAGTGACAACGTTAAATATATGTTTACTCAAATAAGCTGAACATTTGTATCAATATACACACTACATCACTGCACACAAACAAATGTGACCTCTTTAACCCATCACAGCTTTAAGGACCAGAGGAGCAGGTAACAGGTGAATTTGAACCTGCGATCTTCAGGACCACTTCCTTAACCACTAAGCCACTACTGCCCTACAGTAAATGTGAACTAGTGAGTGAATGCATGAAGTGACAGGACGTGATTGAATTCTTATTGTATATGGTCAGATATACACTCGAGAACAGGGGTGGGCAAAAGTTTTGACTCTTGGGCCACAATTGTCCTAATATTGAACGGGGGTGGGGTCCGGGGCAGTCAGGAGCAGATAGATGGAATGTTTGTGTGAACTATGATGAATGACATGTAAAAGTCATACATATTGGTTAAAATGCTTTTATCATTTTCTACGCCATCTATTGGGGATATGTGGGTGTTGCAGGGAAAAGGGAGAAATACAGCATAATGATAATATAAATAAATTATATAATTTGGAAAAGTCTGGCGGGTCGGATTAAAAAGCCAAACGGGACAAATCTGGCCCTCGGGCTGTAGTTTACCCATGTCTGCTCTAGAATTACATTTAAATATTTAAAATAATTTGTTGTGATTGCTAATGATTTACCGGCACCTCAGTAGTAGACATGTAAAAACTGCAAGTATTGCAGCATTGATAAAATTGTACATTTTATTGTTTAAGTTATATCTGTTTTGTAATTAATGGACAAACCTACATTAATCTGAATTAATACTTAACTTAAAATTAATAGTGGTTTCTTAATGACAAAGCCTCTCATTAGTTGCTGCTGAGTCAGCTGAGGTTAATCAGGTCCTTCTCACCATGACATGGTCCAGGTCTGCAGGCTCTCAGAGCCTCCGGTTTCTCTCCGTTACACTGTTCTCCTATCCGACAGGAGACCTGACGCCTCTCCACTCCTTCTCCACAAGTCACAGAGCACTGTAGGAAGAACAAAAAAACAAAACAAAACCAAACCTGTGACTCGACAAAACACTCGCAGAGCTGCAGGCTAAATTAAACTGCAGTGAAAAATTCTTTCACCACCTTTTAGAACTGTGTCGTGTGGGAGGCAGGTTCAGAGAGCCTGAGAGAACTTCCTCTCTCTGAGCCATAAATCATATCCCAGTGCAGCGCTGCAGAACTCACATATTTACTTTTTCAAAGGTGACTGTCAAAATGTTGGTTCTTATATTTATATATACACTATATTACCAAAAGTATTTGCTCACCCATTCAAATGATCAGAATCAGGTGTCCTAATCCCTTGGCCTGGCCACAGGTGTATAAAATCAAGCAAGTCGCCGACTTCCTGCACAGTCAATTGCTACAGAGCTACAAATTTCATGTGACCTTCAGATTAGCCCAAGTACAGTACGCAGAGAGCTTCATGGAATGGGTTTCCATGGCCGAGCAGCTGCAGCCAAGCCAAACATCACCAAGTGCAATGCAAAGCGTCGGATGCAATGGTGTAAAGCACGCCGCCACTGGCCTCTAGAGCAGTGCAGACGCATTCTCTGGAGTGATGAATCACGCTTTTCCATCTGGCAATCTGATGGACGAGTCTGGGTTTGGAGGTTGCCAGGAGAACGGTACATTTCAGACTGCATTGTGCTGACTGTGAAATTTGGTGGAGGAGGAATTATGGTGTGGGGTTGTTTTTCAGGAGCTGGGCTTGGCCCCTTAGTTCCAGTGAAAGGAACTTTGAATGCTTCAGGATACCAAAACATTTTGGACAATCCCATGCTCCCAACCTTATGGGAACAGTTTGGAGCGGGCCCCTTCCTCTTCCAACATGACTGTGCACCAGTGCACACAGCAAGGTCCATAAAGACATGGATGACAGAGTCTGGTGTGGATGAACTTGACTGGCCTGCACAGAGTCCTGACCTGAACCTGATAGAACACCTTTGGGATGAATTAGAGCGGAGACTGAGAGCCAGGCCTTCTCGACCAACATCAGTGTGTGACCTCACCAATGTGCTTTTGGAAGAATGGTCAGAAATTCCTATAAACACTCTCCTCAACCTTGTGGACAGTCTTCCCAGAAGAGTTGAAGCTGTAATAGCTGCAAAAGGGGAACCGACATCATATTGAACTCTGGGTTAGGAATGGGATGGCACTTCAGTTCATAGTATGAGTCAAGGCAGGTGAGCGAATACTTTTGGTAATACAGTCTATATTGTTCTGCTTTAAGAGAATATGCGACAACTTAACAATTTTGCAGTGAATTTCATTAATTCATTCTCTCTAAAGAACACTGATCCAGTCAAAGGTATGAGCTTAGCTTTACTCAAGGACTTGAATAAAAAAAAAAAACAACAACAACAAAAAAACGTGACAAGTTAAATAATAAAAATAAAGCTGTCAAATTAAATGTGTTAATTAATTTGTGAAGCTTAATCAGATTAATATTCTTTTAACAGTTTAGCACATGGACAGAATGACGGCAGTGAAAATGTTGCCCATGCGGAAAAATATGTCTAATCATTTCTCTTGTGGACTCATGTTAATCACAATTAGTCATGAAGAATTACAATCATGATTAATGTTAATTTTAAATCTGACATTTTTCATTATTATAAATGCCCTAAAAGTATTAACTTTATTAACTTTGCTGCTCTACCCATCACAGGGTCACATGACCAAACCACGCCTCCCTCTCTCCTTGTTCCTCTCCTCTACTGTTACACCAACGATATTGATGTTTCCACACTATTATCTGTAGGGAATCTTGAGGACCAAAGTGAAAATAGAGATTGCCTGACATTCTTTTTTTAGTGCTTTTTTTTTTAACCTGATAACTTGTGACTCAGACATCAGCTCTGGCTTGTTCTCAACGAATTCCGGACTAAAGATTAAAAAAGAGTGCACCTTCAGTTCAAATGGGGACTCTTTATTTTAAATGAGCTGGCTGTAAACTCTTCAAACACACTGACAGCCTACTCAACACCTATCACACAATTTTTTAATTCTTGTGGCGACTTAAGAGGTGAAAATGTATGAAAATAAACAAACTGGCTCAGTGTGAAACTTTTTTCATATCTGACATGATTTTACTCCTACTGTAGAATTCAGTGGCTGTAGGCAGGAGAACCAGCCGGGTCAAAGGTTAAAAAGGGAAGAGATTAAACATAATACTGAACCTCTGACCAGGCCGCTGCCCTCCACTGAGCAGGACAGGAGACTCTGTTACAGGGTCTGCGACTCTCCGGCTTCTCTCCGCTGCAGTATTTGCTGTGGACAGATCGGTTTGTGCCGTCATGAAGCAGCTGCACGCAGCGAACCATCCGGATTTGAAATCCCAGGCTGCCGCACGTTTTGGTACAATGCTCCCAGTCGTCGGCAATCCATCTGGACAGAAACCGAGAGATCAGAGGTTATTCTACGGATTATAATAGTGAATAGAAATCTTAGAGAACCAGGATATGATGGATGTCTTTTAACCCGAAACGCCAAAAATGTTCTATTTGTAGCATTTGGGTAAGATGAAGTTAATCTTCAGTAAAGCTAGAATTTTTTCTGTACGAATTTTAAACCTATTATAGTAATCTTAGGTTGATTGAATGCATTTATCATCTTCATACAGGAGTTGACTTCATTTGGAACAGATTTTCCTCACAGTTAAAGTCATAATTACAGTAATCTTCAGTGGTTTATAATGAAAGCACACACAGACAAACACATTTAATTGTGTCAGTGGAGAAACAGATGACAGTTTTTTCTGCCTGTCTAGGTTTTAATTGATTATTATAAATGAATAGGAAAAAAAAGGGATAACAATACCATATGTTGTGATATACTAAGATACAATAGGGCTTGACGATATATTGAGTTTTTTTTTAACAATTTATTTGTTACAAAAATGTCGTATTACATGCGTAGAATGAGGTTACTAAAATTGGAACCCAGGCATCCTCCCAGTGGTTCTCTCCTTAGAACAGTGGTTCTCAACCTGTGGTACACGTACCACTGGAGCGCTCTCTATTGGTACGCAAGGAAAATTCACATTTTCACATTTACATTTTCAGTTGAATAAATCTGAAACATACCATGCACAATTAATACAACATATAAACATCTTTCTAAACATTTCTAAACATCTCTCCTGTGGTGAAAGCTAACAGTGAAGGTCTATGCTGCTATATTCTAATGTTGGTCATCATGGTGGTACTCGGAGAGATCAAGGTTTTCTCAGGTGGTACAGAGTAGAAAAAGTTGGAGAACCACTGCTGCAGAATATATCGATACAGTACCGTGAAATTAAATACTGTGATATTTCAGTTTATCCATGACAAGAATATACATATATACATTCAGATCTACGGCTCTGTGTGCTGCTCTTGAGTCTGCAGGAAGAACACTTACACACGGGGCAGTGGTGGCTTAGTGGTTAAGGAAACTGACTTGGGTCCGGAAGGTTGCATGTTCCAAGTTACCACTGAGGTGCTCTGAGCAAGGCACTGTCCCAACACACTGCTCCCTGCACGCTCAAAAGCTTACCCACTGTTCACTTTGGTGATGGGTTAAATGCAGAGGTCACATTTGGTTGTGTGTCACAAGGAGTTCACTTTCCTTTCCTTACCAGAGAGTAAGAGCTTAAAGAGGGCCTAATGGTCCACTTTATAATGCATTATTATGGAACGGTGAAAACTATTTTTATTATTACTGGGAAAAAGTAGAACTCAACAACCAAGCATGGACAGCTCGGACTTGGTTGCTTTGAGCAACAGAACAAACAGATGCTTTTCTTATATTGACCTTGTCACCTTCTCTGGAGAAAAATAAATTTTACTGCCTGGAGTGTGTGCTTTAGTATTAACGGTGAATTACACAGACTAAGTCATTTTTAACAAATATTTTCCCAGCTCTAACAATCATATATTGCAGCTATATTGGTCAAAAGTTAATATCATGTACTACAGGGATGAGCTGATGTGACTTCACACAGTGTGATTCTATTGAAGCAGCAGCTGTGTGTGCGTCTGTTGGTGTGTACTCACTGAGGCTGAGTGCAGTCCTGAAGGTTACACATTCTGCGAATAGGTTTGGGTTTCTTGTTCTCATCGCAGTAACCTCGATGGACCATCTTTGTGTCTCCTTTCTTTCGACAGCCATATTTAGTGTACTGAAACCCTGTGATGGTAGAATAGTTTTTATTTCTTTACAAAATGAGGCGTTTAACAATGCAAAATTGACTGCATTAGTATATTGAAATAGTAATAGAAAAAAAAAGATAAGTCGCTTCTAGTGACACTGACCATTCTATTCTTAGCATAATGATATCAAATGGGGAAAAAAAACAACAATAATTCATTACTTTCAAGGCCATGCAGAAACATCATTGAAATACAGCATTATTCTCCTAACACAAAACCAAGTTCATGAATAGAGGCAGTGAAGATGAAGAATACAGATAATTATCTAAAGCAGTGACAGAAATCATTAGTCTCTATTATGTTGATGCTAATGTATTTGTTACCTCCAGCACAAGGTTTGGAACACGGCGACCAGCTCTTCAGAGCCCACTCGTATGTTTCCTCCTGGATCACATTGTTGTTGTTGACCGGGACTAAATCTTCATGTATGATGTACTTGTATATTAGAGTAGAACGCGTCTCATTGTCTTTGGGTATTATCTAAATGCCATGAGGAGACAGAAAAACAAGCACAATCAGAATACTTTCATAATATAACAATTAAGGCAATTTGCTTAAATTATAGCTCTGTTAGAAAACAGGTGAAAACAGAAAGATTGGTCAAAAACACACATTTTAAATTAAAATACCAACGCTATTTACGCAAGCACCTCGACATACGAGCAGGCTTCCAAATGCCGACGCCAGGTGGCCGAGCACTTGTTCACTTCACGTGTTCGTCGACTGCTGTACGCATCGCTTCCGTGATATTCTCTCTATTTTGTGCATTATTCTTCATATTAGTGATGAGTCCTAAGAGAGTGAGTGGTAAGGATGGTGGTGAATCAATAAATATGAGCGTGGTGCCTCCCTGTGTGAGTGATCGAGCACGCTTTTATGATCGCAGTACATCAAAAATAAGTTTATGTAAGTTACGAAGTGTTAGTGTAAGGTACGCTATGGAATCAAGTGTCTACGCACGGGCCAACTTCCCATCCTTCCTTCCTCCTCCCCACATGCCTCCATTAGCCGCTCCTGTATCGTCTGTCTCGAAGCTAAGAACTCATAATTATAACCACATTTTATTTCATATAAAATATGAACCGAACAGAACTATTCCCATAAAAATGTGTGCTGCGCAAGGAAAGGTTTTCTTTTTCTTACTGTTGCTCTGAGCTCCCCTTAGTAACTAAGTGCAGTATTTTTCAGGTTCATGTTTAATGGATTCTTTAGAGTTGAAGAGAGAATATAAATATAAAGCAGACAAAAAGAAAAACCTAAGTAAAATGTGGTCAATGTGATCTTTACATTTGGAAACAACAGAAGATGAAAAAATAAAAATAATGAAGTTGAGCATGATAAAACCAACCATTATAAAAACAACTTTAAAGAATTTATAACATTATAACATGCCTTTTCTGATATCAGCTCGACATCAGAAAAGGCTTTTTAATTCTTATAGGCTTTAATCTGTAAAGAGTAGATAACAGTCCCATTGTGACTGAGTGAATAGAGGGAGACAAAATGGATAGAACATGAAGGGATCACTTTCGGGTGAACTTTTTTTCAGAAGTGGAAAAAGAAACCATTACTGTTGGTTCAGACAGACACCCTGCATCTTTCTCAGATGCATTATTCCAACAATCAATGCAAGTATACAGTCACTCTGCTGCTGGTTGAGGACACAGTCAAAGCAGTGAGTTATCGCTTTAAAAATTAAAATGAAAGAAATATGTATTTCTTCACAGACAAAGAGGCTGTTATTACCAGAACCACCACCGGGTCGTGCAGCGGGCCCTCAGTGTGCAGAGTCTCCACACCGTCCTCGATGGTGTAGTGCCACTCCACGCCCAAGTCGATGAAGCTCCTGGACTTAACCTCCTCTGTTTTTCCATTTAGAATGTAATGGCCCGTCGCCTGGTTCTTGACGGCTGGAAGTATTCATTGGTAATGAGACTTTTAATTAATGTGTAAAACTTTGAAAAATTGAAATATTTAAACCGATGGCAGCACCACTTAAAAATGAACGTCCACCACTTCATGTATCTCTGTGGTTGGAAAAATATTCAATTTATTATTTATTATTTATAATAAATGTACTCATATAAAACATGCTGTCAACCTATCTAACCTAAACTTATGAAAAAAAACTACTACCTTATGAATCAGAAACATTTATTCGTCTGAAGCAATGAGGAAAACAGAGATGATTGAGGATAGAGCCGTAGCTGCCACAGTGGGAATCTTAATTTGGAGCTGTGACATTAAGAAGAATCTGAAGAGCAAAAAACAACTGGACAACAAGGTGGTAAAACATGAGTCACTGTGATCCACGTGTACCCAGAGAATGACACTGGAAGAAATATAAAGTTAAATAAATAGTGTTTTTCCTCAACGAAAATGAGGTTGAAAGGTTAAAAAAAGTCAATGTTAATAGGATTCTTTAACACTCCCCTCCCTCTTCACACTGGCTTAAATGTGTGTTTTATTTCCATTGAAAGTACTGCAGCATGTGATGTCAATAAAATGAAGACCCACCACAAAAGTGATGTGAAGCCATTCCCTCTGGTGACACTTCTATCCTGAAGAACACAGCGTCTGTTTCCTCAGCACAGTCAGCACTATTCAAACTGATGGGCCGTAATGAGGCGATGAGGAAATTTTACATCACAGGCTGTGATAGCTGGCTACAAGCGTAGACTATAAATGTTTGTCAATGGAGGGATTGTAGGAGGAAATGTCATCGACGTGGAACGTGTCTCTGAAGCCCAGAAAAATATGTGCAGTAGTGATGTGCCATTCGCGAGTGATTCGTTCAATATGAACAAATCACTCATGAATCACTCATGAATCACTTTATGCGAATGAATCTCTCTGCATATTAATAATTTACGGCGATTGAATCACTCACTCATTACTCCTGTAAGCAATGAGAGAGTGATTCATTCATTCATTCAGCGTCCGTCCTCAGGTACTCGTTCTTTTGTCACGTGATACCCGACATAAAAGATTTATTAATGAAATCATAATTCATAATTAGTGGTTTTAACCTCTGGTAGATGTATATGGTGTTATTGCGTTAAGTGTGTTTGTAAATGAATATTTTCAAAAATTATATCAACAAATTACAACGCCCACAATAGGGCCACCGGCTGTAAAATGAATGAAATGATTTGTTCACAATTCGTTCATTTTACTGTTCAAGAGTCAAAGATCTGAATCAGTAAAAAGAGTCAGTCTTCCCAACACTAATGTACAGTAAGTAGTACATTATGACAGGTATAACAGGTCAAAAACAACCCGCATGAATGTCATTGAGGTGAGGCTGAAAAACACAGTAGTGAGTAAATTTCATCCAATGAATGAAATGATGCATTTGAACAGATGTGGGAAGAGACTGGAACCATAGCAGCATACAGTATATGTCGTCTGATTTCTTAATTCACTATAGTGTTGATGAAGGTCAACACTATAGTCACCACAATCTCACCACAATTATCTCCTGCTGTTATTGCACTGCTACAGCACAAAGGTAATTTGGTTGTACTACACATTTATTTTATTTATCGATAAAAGATGTTTTCGAAAAAAAAATCATCACTCTTGGCTTGTAGCAAGGAGCTGACGTTCTATCGATGATTTGTTTTTTTAAATTTGCCAATCTTTTGTTTTGGGTAATTCATATTTTAAGTTGGGGGAAAATCTGACGATACCGATATCAATCCGATACCTTCTTCTCCCCTAGCATGTAGCCGGTGCTTGGCGATAGTGTCCCTGCCATGTCGCACAAAGTCAAGTTGAGCATTTGGGCTAAGTTTTTTTTATAAAATCTTAACCAATTTTGGTCAACATTGGAATCTTTGACCTCATGAGAGAGACGTCTCCCAAAGGATTCTAGACTGCTCTTAAATGTTAAAAAACACGACATTTAAAAAAACTTCGAACAAGCTGAATATGAGGGTTACAGCTCTACATAACCTATA